GCTGCTCTGCCTGCTCCGCTGCAGGGAGGGTAGAAATCCTCTGAGCCGCGGGCCACTTGGGGCGCGGGCTGCTCACCGGGGCCGTCGGATTCCAGCCAAGGTCTCCAGGCTGGACGCCCTGAGAATACTTGCTGATGACCTGCATGCGCATTTCATCTTCCGGTCGCGACACGCAGACGCATCCGAGGCTGGGGCGTTCTCGTATCGCCAAAGCTCCGACAGGGCAATCACGACAATGATCTGAAGCCAGCCCACGATGGGCACCTCACGCATCGGAGGTGAGGCTCTACACAAAGCACCCTCCTCAAAACCTCCGACCCATGCGTGGCGGAGGGCACCTGCGTGGCCGCCTTCAGGGGGTCCGCGGAGTCCGTCGGGTATCGGGTGATGAAGGGCTCGAACTTGGCCCCGGAAGTCTGTACCTTGCGTATGCGGTTCATGCGGAGTCAAGCGCACAAGCGTGAGGCATGCTCTCAACTTCACTTAAAGCAGCTAAGGTGCGGTGTAGCCCAGCACTGCCAGCATGCACACGCGGCCATGAGCAAGCTCGGCTTCACGGTACCAAGGCAGCAGGCGCTGGTTCTTGGCAAAGCCTGCAGGGTCGAAGCCAACATCGCCCACGTAGGTGTTGTTGAAGATGTCGTTGCTGAGGCCCTCTGGGATGGGATCCCAAGGGATAGCCGTGGACTTGCCGGCGCCAGAGCCGAACTCGGCTCGCAAAGCCAAGCGATCAGAAGCATCAAGCTGAGCATAGCCACCCACGAAGGGGTTCAGGTTTCCGGTGGTGAACTGCTCGACCAGGGACTGGCCTGTGGCGCCGTTCTGTGCCACGATGGCAGCCATCGCAACCATAGCCAGGCGTCCGTTGTTGATCTCGGCAAGCAGCTTCTTCTGCTTCTCCTCCGGCTCAAGAGTGTTGATCCGCCCCCAGAAAGGAGGATAGCCATAGTTCTCAGGGAAGGCCTGGTTCTTGGCCTCGATGGCTCCGGCGAGAGCAAAGATCTGCAACCAGCCGAAGGTCGGAACCTTGTAGATGGCCTCAATCGTGCAAGGAATGTCGGAGAACTTCAGGTCCATGCTGGGTGCTAGGTAGCCACCGAAGCGGCCGAAGAGGTCAGGCACGATCATCCCGATCGTGGCAACCATGCAGATCCGTCCGTGTTTCAGCTCCAGCTCACGATTCCGGCGGAACTTCTCCTCATCCTGGAAGGCCATCATGCCGAATGGATCCCAGTAGCCAAGAGGAGGGCACGCACCAAGTTCCTGCGAAGGGTCAAAAGCGAAGAAGCCCTGACCATCGTTGAAGGGCGAAATGTGGCCGGCAGTGAGCTGCTCGATCGGGGACTGTCCAGTGAGGCCGTTCTGAATCAGCATGCCAGACATGGCGATCATTGCCAGCCTTCCGTTGTTCTTTTGGTTGTTGTCTTCCCCCCCGAAGGGGGGATGCATAAAAATCCGAACACAAGAGCAAGAGCAACATGTTGTTGCATCATGATAAAACATGCTAGTGCAAGACACGGCATTCCATGCATGAAGCCAGCCTTCCGTTGTTCAGCTCTGTGGTCAGCTTCAGCCGGCGCTCGGCCGGATCCTGGATCTTCCTGCCCCAGTATCCCGTTCCGAAATTTCCTGGCTCCTGGACGAGGACAAACCGCATGTTGCGGCCAGCAGGATTTAGGATTCACGGGTCTTGTAGGGCTCAGGGAAAGTGTTGGGTTTGGCTGCTTGGCTCCTGACCGTACTTGGCGTAACCGAAGCCACCGAAAGACTGATCCTTCAAGAGCTGCGTCTCAATAAGTCCTGCCACGAGCAAGATCTGCAGCCAGCCCTCCAGAGGGACCTTGCTGACAGCGGCAATTCCTGACGGGACGTCTGCGAACTTCAAGTTCTGTGATGGCGACAGGTAACCATCGAACTTGCCGAAGATGTCCGGCCAAACCATGCCAATGGTGGCGACCATGCACAACCTCCCGTGCTTCAGCTCCACTGCTCGCCGACGGTCGAAGTCCTCCTTCGTGCAGCCGTCCTGGCAGTAGCCGATGGGGTCCCAGAACAGGAGCGGGTCGCAAGCACCGATCTCCCCAGAGGCGTCGTAGGCGCAGCGCGCGATGCCACTGCGCACGGCCGGCGAAGGAGCCGGGCGCACTAAGGACGCAATCAGGCCCATGGCCCCGAGGCCAAGGCCCAAACCCGCTGCGGAGCTCATGGTGCCATTTGCAGTGGCTCCTGTGGATCTCTGTGTGCCTCGGAGTGTCGGCTGCCTCGCTGGCTGCGGCACTCCAACAAAGGCTGTTGCTGCGGTTACCGCGGCAGCCCCGGTGGCAAAAGCTGAGATCTTGGACATGGCCGGCATCTCTACGGCACTGCGGA